CTCTCTGTCTCAGCCTCTTTGTCTCTGCCTCTCTGTCTCTGTCTGACTCTGCTTCTCTGACTCTGCCTCTCTGTCTCTGCCTCTTTGTCTCTGCCTCACTATCTCTGCCTCTTTGTCTCTGCTTCTCTGTCTCTGACGCTCTGTCTCTGCCTCTCTGTCTGTCTGTCTCTGCCTCTCTGTCTCAGCCTCTCTGTCTATGCCTCTCTGTCTCAGCCTCTCTGTCTCTGCCTCTCTGTCTATGCCTCTCTGTCTCTGCTTCTGTCTCTGCCTCTCTTTTTCCCTGTCTCAGCCTCTCTGTCTCTGCCTCTGTCTCTTCCTCTCAATCTCAGCCTCTCTGTCTCTCCCTCTCTGTCTCTACCACTCTGTCTCTGCCTCTCTGTCTCTGCCTCTCTGTCTCTGCCTCTGTCTCTGCCTCTCTGTCTGTGCCTCTCTGTCTCTGCCTCTCTGTCTCAGCCTCTTTGTCTCTCTGTCTCTGCCTCTCTGTCTCTGCCTCTCTGTCTCTGCCTCTCTGTCTCTGCCTCTCTGACTCTGACTCTCTAAAGCTGCCTCTGTCTCTGTCTCTCTGTCTCTGCCTTTCTGTCTCTGCCTCTCTGTCTCTGCCTCTCATGCTCTGCCTCTCTGACTCTGCCTCTCTGTCTGTGCCCCTCTGCCTTTGCCTCTCTGTCTGTGCCTCTCAGTCTCTGCCTCTCTGTCTCTGCCTCTCTGTCTCTGCCTCTCTGACTCTGCCTCTCTGTCTCAGCCTCTCTGTCTCTCTGTCTCTGCCTCTCTGTCTCTATCTCTATGTCTCTGCCTCTCTGTCTCTGCCTCTCTGTCTCTGTCTGTCTGTCTCTGCCTCTCTGTCTCTGTCTGTCTCTGCCTCTCTGTCTCTGTCTGTCTCTGCCTCTCTGTCTCTGCCTCTCTGTCTCTGCCTCTCTGACTCTGCCTCTCTGACTCTTCTTCTGTCTCTGCCTCTCTATCTTTGCCTCTCTATCTCTGGCTCTCTTTCTCTGCCTCTCTATCTTTGCCTCTCTATCTCTGGCTCTCTTTCTCTGACTCTGCCTCTCTGTCTCTGCCTCTCTGTCTCGGCGTCTCTGTCTCTGCCTCTCTGTCTCTGCCTCTCTGACTCTGCCTCTCTGACTCTTCCTCTCTGTCTCAGCCTCTCTGTCTCTGCCTCTCTGTCTCTGCCTCTCTGACTCTGCCTCTCTGTCTCTGCCTCTTTGTCTCTGCCTCTCTGTCTCTGTCTGTCTCTGCCTCTCTGTCTCGGCGTCTCTGTCTCAGCCTCTCTGTCTCTGCCTCTCTCTGTCTGCCTCTCTGACTCTTCCTCTCTGTCTCAGCCTCTCTGTTTCTGCTTCTCTGTCTCTAGCTGCCTCTCTGTTTCTGCCTCTCTGTCTCTGCCTCTCTGTCTCGGCCTCTCTGACTCTGTCTCTCTGTCTCTGCCTGTCTGTCTCAGCCTCTCTGTCTCTGCCTCTCTGTCTCTGCCTCTCTGACTCTGTCTCTGCCTCTCTGTCTCTGCCTCTCTGTCTTTTCCTCTCTGTCTCAGCCTCTCTGTCTCTGCCTCTCTGTTCCTGTCTGTCTCTGCCTCTCTGTCTCTGCCTCTCTATCACTGCCTCTCTGACTCTGTCTCTCTGTCTCTGCCTCTCTGTCTCAGCCTCTCTGTCTCTGCCTCTCTGTCTCTGCCTCTCTGACTCTGTCTCTGCCTCTCTGTCTCAGCCTCTCTGTCTCTGCCTCTCTGTCTCTGTCTGTCTCTGCCTCTGCCTCTCTGACTCTGCCTCTCTGTATTTGAATCCCTGTCTCTGCCTCTCTGACTCTGCCTCTCTGACTCTACCTCTCTGGCTCGGCCTCTCTGTCTAGGCCTCTCTGTCTCTGCCTCTCTGTGTCTGCCTCTCTGTCTCTGTCTGTCTCTGCCTCTCTGTCTCTATCTGTCTCTGCCTCTTTGTCTCAGCCTCTCTCTCTGCCTCTCTGTTTCCCTGCCTCAGCCTCTCTGTCTCTGCCTCTCGGTCTCTTCCTCTCTGTCTCAGCCTCTCTGTCTCTCCCTTTCTATCTCTACCTCTCTGTCTCTGCCGCTCTGTCTCTGCCTCTCTGTCTCTGCCTTTCTGTCTCTGCCTCTCTGTCTCTGTCTGTCTCTGCCTCTCTGTCTCTGCCTCTCTGTCTCTGCCTCTCTGACTCTGCCTCTCTGACTCTGCCTCTCTGTCTCTGCCTCTCTGTCACTGCCTCTGTTTTTGCCTCTCGGTTTCTGCCTCTCTGTCTCTGCCTCTCTCTCTCAGCCTCTCTGTCTCTGCCTCTCTGTCTCTGCCTCTCTGTTTCAGCCACTCTGTCTCTGCTGCTCTGTCTCTGCCTCTCTGTCACAGACTCTCTTTCTCTGTCTCTCTGTCTCTGCCTCTCTGTCTCTAATTCTCTGTCTCTGCCTCTCTGTCTCTGCCTCTCTGACTCTGCCTCTCTGTCTCTGCCTCTCTGTCTCGGCGTCTCTGTCTCTGCCTCTCTGTCTCTGCCTCTCTGACTCTGCCTCTCTGACTCTTCCTCTCTGTCTCAGTCTCTCTGTCTCTGCCTCTCTGTCTCTGCCTCTCTGACTCTGCCTCTCTGTCTCTGCCTCTTTGTCTCTGCCTCTCTGTCTCTGTCTGTCTCTGCTTCTCTGTCTCTGCCATTCTGTCTCTGTCAGTCTCTGCCTCTCTGTCTCTGCCTCTCTGTCTCAGCCTCTCTTTTTTTTTTTTTTTTTTTTTTTTTTTTTTTTTTTTTTTTTTTTTTTTTTTTTTTTTTTTTTTTTTTTTTTTTTTTTTTTTTTTTTTTTTTTTTTTTTTTTTTTTTTTTTTTTTTTTTTTTTTTTTTTTTTTTTTTTTTTTTTTTTTTTTTTTTTTTTTTTTTTTTTTTTTTTTTTTTTTTTTTTTTTTTTTTTTTTTTTTTTTTTTTTTTTTTTTTTTTTTTTTTTTTTTTTTTTTTTTTTTTTTTTTTTTTTTTTTTTTTTTTTTTTTTTTTTTTTTTTTTTTTTTTTTTTTTTTTTTTTTTTTTTTTTTTTTTTTTTTTTTTTTTTTTTTTTTTTTTTTTTTTTTTTTTTTTTTTTTTTTTTTTTTTTTTTTTTTTTTTTTTTTTTTTTTTTTTTTTTTTTTTTTTTTTTTTTTTTTTTTTTTTTTTTTTTTTTTTTTTTTTTTTTTTTTTTTTTTTTTTTTTTTTTTTTTTTTTTTTTTTTTTTTTTTTTTTTTTTTTTTTTTTTTTTTTTTTTTTTTTTTTTTTTTTTTTTTTTTTTTTTTTTTTTTTTTTTTTTTTTTTTTTTTTTTTTTTTTTTTTTTTTTTTTTTTTTTTTTTTTTTTTTTTTTTTTTTTTTTTTTTTTTTTTTTTTTTTTTTTTTTTTTTTTTTTTTTTTTTTTTTTTTTTTTTTTTTTTTTTTTTTTTTTTTTTTTTTTTTTTTTTTTTTTTTTTTTTTTTTTTTTTTTTTTTTTTTTTTTTTTTTTTTTTTTTTTTTTTTTTTTTTTTTTTTTTTTTTTTTTTTTTTTTTTTTTTTTTTTTTTTTTTTTTTTTTTTTTTTTTTTTTTTTTTTTTTTTTTTTTTTTTTTTTTTTTTTTTTTTTTTTTTTTTTTTTTTTTTTTTTTTTTTTTTTTTTTTTTTTTTTTTTTTTTTTTTTTTTTTTTTTTTTTTTTTTTTTTTTTTTTTTTTTTTTTTTTTTCTCCCTCTCTGCTCTTTCGCTCTGCCTCTCTGTCTTGCCCTCTGCTTGCCCTTCTCTGCCTCTCTCTCCTGCCTCTCTGTCTCGCCTCTCTGTCTTGGCTCTCTTCTCTGCCTCTTGTCTCGCCTCTTTTTCTCTCCTCTCTGTCTCCCTTTCTGTCTCTGCCTCTCTGCTCTCCCTCTTGCTCTCCCTTCTGTCTCTGCCTCTCTCCTTCCCTTCTCTGTCTCGCCTCTCTGCTCTGCCTCTCTGTTCTGCCTCTCTGTCTCTGCCTCTATCTCCTCCGCTCTTCTTCCTCCTGCTCTCCCCTCTACTTGCCTCTCTGCTCTGCCTCTTTCTCGCCTCTCTTCTTGCCTCTCTTCTCTCCTCTCTTCTCAGCCTCTCTGTCTCTCCCTCTCTGTCTCTGCCTCTCTGTCTCTGTCTCTCTGTTTCTGCGTCTCTGTCTCTAGCTGCCTCTCTGTCTCAGCCTCTCTGTCTCTACCCCTCTGTCTGTGCCTCTCTGTCTGCCTCTCTGACTCTTCCTCTCTGTCTCAGCCTCTTTGTCTCTGCCTCTCTGTCTCTGTCTGTCTCTGCCTCTCTGTCTCTGCCACTCTGTCTCTGTCAGTCTCTGCCTCTCTGTCTTTGCCTCTCTGTCTCAGCCTCTCTGTCTCTGCCTCTCTGTCTCTGCCTCTCTGTCTCTGCCTCTCTGTTCCTGTCTGTCTCTGCCTCTCTGTCTCTGCCTCTCTGTTCCTGTCTGTCTCTGCCTCTATGTCTCTGCCTCTCTATCACTGCCTCTCTGTCTCAGCCTCTCTGTCTCAGCCTCTCTGTCTCTGCCTCTCTGTCTCTGCCTCTCTGCCTCTCTGTCTCTGCCTCTCTGTCTCTGCCTCTCTGTCTCTGCCTCTCTGTCTCTGCCTCTCTGTCTCTGCCTCTCTGTCTTTGCCTCTCTGTCTCAGCCTCTCTGTCTCTGCCTCTCTGTCTCTGTCTGTCTCTGCCTCTGCCTCTCTGACTCTGCCTCTCTGTCTTTGCCTCCCTGTCTCTGCCTCTCTGACTCTGCCTCTCTACTCTCCTCTCGGCTCGCCCTCTGTCTGGCCTCCTGTCTCTGTCTCTCTGTCTCTGCCTCTCTGTCTCCTGTCTGTCTCTGCCTCTCTGTCTCTGTCTGTCTCTGCCTCTTGTCTCGCCTCTCTGTCTCTGCCTCTTGTTTCGCCTCCTGTCCAGCCTCTCTGTCTCTGCCTCTCTTCTCTGCTCTCTGTCTCGGCCTCTCTTCTTCGCCTCTCGGTCTCTGCCTCTCTGTCTCTGCCTCTCTGTCTCGCCTCTCTGTCTCTGTCTCTGTCTCTTCTTTGTCTCCCTCTGTCTCTGCTTCTCTGTCTCTGCCTCTCTGTTTCCCTGCCTCGCCTCTCTGTCTCTGCCTCTCTTCTCTTCCTCTCTGTCTCAGCCTCTTGCTCTCCCTTTTACTCTCCTCTCTGTCTCTGCCCTCTGTCTTGCCTCTCTGTCTCTGCCTTCTGTCTCTGCCTCTCTCTCTCTGTCTCTGCCTCTCTGACTCTGCCTCTCTGACTCTGCCTCTCTGACTCTGCCTCTCTGCCTCTCTTTTTCTGTCTCTGCCTCTCTGACTCTGCCTCTCTGACTCTGCCTCTCTGACTCTGCCTCTCTGACTCTGCCTCTCTGTCTCTGCCTCTCTGTCACTGCCTCTCTGTCACTGCCCCTCTGTCTCTGCCTCTCTCTCTCGGCCTCTCTGTCTCTGCCTCTCTGTCTCTGCCTCTCTGTTTCAGCCACTCTGTCTCTAATTCTCTGTCTCTGCCTCTCTGGCTCTTCCTCTCTGACTCTGCCTCTCTGTCTCTGTCTGTCACTGCCTCTCTCTCTCTGCCTCTCTCTCGCTTCCTCACTGTCTCTGCCTCTCTGTCTCTGTCTCTCTGTCTCTGCCTCTCAGTCTCAGCCTCTCTGTCACTGCCTCTCAGTCTCTGCCTCTCTGTCTCAGCCTCTCTGTCTTGGTCTCTCTGTCTCTGCCTCTATGTCTCTGCCTCTCTTTCTCTGCCTCTCTTTCTCTGCCTCTCTGTCTCAGCCTCTCTGTCTCTGCCTCTCTGACTCTCCCTCTTTGACTCTCCCTCTCTGTCTCTGCCTCTCTCTCGCTGCCTCTCTGTCTCAGCCTCTCTGACTCTGCCTCTCTGTTTCTGCCTCTCTGTCTCTGCCTCTATCTCTCAGCCTCTCTGACTCTGCCTCTCGGTCTCAGCCTCTCTGTCTCAGCCTCTCTGTCTTAGCCTCTCTGTCTCAGCTTCTCTGTCTCTGCCTCTCTGTTCCTGTCTGTCTCTGCCTCTCTGTCTCTGCCTCTCTATCACTGCCTCTCTGACTCTGCCTCTCTGACTCTGCCTCTCTGTCTCTGCCTCTCTGTCTCAGCCTCTCTGCCTTAGCCTCTCTGTCTCTACCTCTCTGTCTCTGCCTTTCTGTCTTTGCCTCTCTGTCTCTGCCTCTCTGACTCTGCCTCTCTGACTCTACCTCTCTGTCTCGGCCTCTCTGTCTAGGCCTCTCTGTCTCTGCCTCTCTGTCTCTGCCTCTCTGTCTCTGTCTGTCTCTGCCTCTCTGTCTCTGTCTGTCTCTGCCTCTTTGTCTCAGCCTCTCTGTCTCTGCCTCTCTGTTTCAGACTCACTGTCTCAGCCTCTCTGCCTCTGCCTCTCTGTCTCTGCCTCTCTGTCTCGCCCTCTCTGTCTTGGCCTCTCTGTCTCTGCCTCTCTGACTCTGCCTCTCTGACTCTTCCTCTCTGTCTCAGCCTCTCTGTCTCTCTGTCTCTGCCTCTCTGACTCTGCCTCTCTGTCTCTGCCTCTTTGTCTCTTCTGCCTCTTGTCTCTGCTGTCTCTGCCTCTCTGTCTCTGCCCTCTGTCTCTGCGTCTCTGCCTCTCTGTCTTCCTCTCTGTCTCAGCCTCTCTTTCTCAGCCTCTCTGTCCTGCCTCTTTGTCTCTCCCTCTCTGTCTCTGCCTCTCTGTCTCTGCCTCTCTGTCCCCCTCTCTGTCTCTGGCTCTCTGTCTCTGCCTCTCTGACTCTGCCTCTCTGTCTCTGCCTCTTGTCTCTGCCTCTCTGTCTCTGTCTGTCCTCTGCCTCTCTGTCTCTGCCCTCTGTCTCTGCAGTCTCGCCTTCTTCTTG